GAATGAATGAATAAATAAATGAATAAATGAATGAATACAAGAATGAATACAAGAATGAATAAATGAATGGATGATAGATGGATAGGCAAACTAATTAGTGATCGAAACGACTGAATAAAAAAAATAAATGTTTTAAATTTCACTTATCATCTACAAATAAACGAATAAGGAATGGTGTAACGACACGCACAGATCACAAGCACCAGAACCTTATGTAGGATGTTTAATCCTATAGCCAAAGGGATGGTTGAATGACATCAGTAATAATGATAACAACACCCTTTCTAAAATTAATTRCGTATTTAACCACCATGACACTCCTCGTCTGAACCTTTAACAAAATATAATTTTTTCCAATTTCCTTTTCCTTCTTTATCATCAGGCCTGTGCATACAAAGTAGGCGAGATAAAGATACGTGAGTTGAGAGAAAACTCCACCCACCAGCTCGGTAAGTTCTAGATTGAGAGTGATTTGGTTTGCTATTGATATGCGCGATATTTCGGAAGCATAAAAAAGCGCAGTTTATATTTTGTTTTCTAATTAGTTCTGTCTCTTTTCGGCTCTCTTCTCTTTATATATATTAACCTTTCCGGAACTGTAGAAAATGCGTTKCTTTATTGGGCYGTTTTGAGGGACGCTTCATTCTAAGTCAGTTGTCATTTTATGCACCACGAAACGAAAGAAATTTTAAAACTAATACGGCAAGGTTGCCTATAACTTTTCACTATCAGCAAGCGAAAAAAATGCCATATGGGCATTACCTGAAACGTCCTCTAAAACATCCCCATGATGCAACGCGTTCTCCACCTCAATAGAACTCATATTTGTGAGGCTTTTTTGAGAAGCTGTATGTTCAGTTATAGACCTCTTCGGCTTGGGGTAATGTTTTCCCATTYCAGACCACGTGTCATTCTCTTGAGAATAAGATTCTTTGTTTGAGYTGTATCCRTATTCATGTTTCTTMTCATGCGCAACCRAGCGCAAACCTTAAACAAAGAAATGATACTCTAGGRAATGACATGTGGTCTGAAATGGGAAAACATTACGTCAGAGCTGAAGAGGCCTATTGGGTTTGGGGGGGGGGGGGGGAGGGAGTTTTGCAGATGTCGTCATGATAAACTAACGGAGACACTTATTATAACTTTTCTTTTTTATGCTTGTTCTTAACTTCATATTGACGAGTTTTGTTTTTATTTTTCAGGGGAGAAGTTTGATGTTCGTGACTTCCATGACTTATTTTTAGCCTTTGGGTCTGTTCCCTTGGCAACGCTGGAAGAGGCTGTCAACGAATACATAGAAACTAAGATGGATGCTTAATCGACCACCATGGTAACAAAGTTGATGACAAAAATAAATGGAATTTCTATTTAGACAGTTGTAGGTAGGTAAAAGAAAAGGTATTCCATTCTAATGAGAATTTCGCTTTGTTCTATTATTTTCTTCTTGCGTGRCTGAACATTTGGTTTTTATTGTCACGCATTCGTAGGTTTTAATTTGCATGACGCCCAAGAATGTGATCCAATTGATAATTTTTCGTAGATCGTAATTTTTTTACTGAAAATCTTTATAGATCGATAATCAGTCGAAGTCTGTCGTGCGCATACCTTCCTTTACATTCGAAGACTTTATTCTAATCGATAACCATCCGTKCATGCTTCGTAAAAGCCTCCAAGGGGGCAAATATACAAAGCTTTKTTGCAAGAAAATATGACAGTGGACGAATTAAGCAGTCTAACAACCTATTCTAATCGATAATCATTCGTAGAATGTATTCGGCATACATTTTAGTCGATAGTCATTCGACGTCCGCCATTTCGCCGAGAAAGTTCGGCTTGATCGATAAGTATTCGCATATATACTTTCACAAATTTCACGTAATTTTTTTCCTTCGAGGATAATAGTCAATGCTTTTCACAAAATATTATTTTTTACGCATTTTGACATTTTCCAAAAGTTTAATTTAATGTGGTTTGTGAAATGAATAGAATTTATGGAATTTTTAGATTAACATTTATTAGATATTTGTCAAGATTAAGAATATGTAATAATTTTAAGAAAGGAAAAAAATACTTAAAACATATCTAAAATAAATGATATAAAACTCAAGAATAATCTCATTCTGAAACGTTTGATACTTMTTTGTTACTTCGCAAAGAATTGAATCTGTGTGTGTGTATTTTCAGGGGGGAGGGGAAGGGAGGTGACGTTCAAACTTAACGGCGCATTCTCAACTCGCACCTGTATGGAAATCAATCCAATTTGTCATTTCTGTTTATACTAAACCACTTTCGAATTCTTGAAAAACGTGCTAAAATGCAAGCATGTATGRAATACTTTATCTATTAATGTCCTTTTTGAGTGGGTAAAAATTCATTAATTTTTTCCATGTATTCTACTAAAATGTGGGATGGACTAGATGACAGAAAATGGATATTTATTAAAWCATAAATACCGTTTTGTAGGTACTATTTAACGTTATATTTATTCGTTTAAATTAGAAAAGGAATAAAAGTCTCCAACGGTTTCCATCTTACGGTCGTGCCAAAATCCCCTCAAATTTTATCAATAACCCTGAAACAACCTCTGTTTTGATCAAAGTCAGGACACGGGTCAGGAACTTTCATAACAAATTGGAATTTAGCGTGTTAAATTTTGCAGAGTGAGGAAAACTGGAGAAATTGGAGGGACCAACCAAACCAAGCGGAGAGAGACAAGAAATGAAATCAGAACCATCACAAGTACATACTTTTTATCAATATTTAAAACAAAACAAAAAAAAGAACATTCTAGGTCAAGCTGAACTTAGAAAGTCTTGTCTTTCAAACAAAAGATCACTTAGAAGTGAGTGATTTGTTTATAAGAAAAAAGGTTATTTTTACACTTTATTAGGCACACTTAAACTTAACACCTGTCATTTCGACATCAAAAAAGAAAGAAAAAAAGAAAAAAAAGGCAAACTAAAGAAAGGAAAAAAAGCCATTCGAGTAATGAATCAAGGTGATCGTAAATTATGAAGCTTGAAGTATCTGTTGACGATTTTTTGTGCAAGTTTAATTTTTTCTTCGTCTTTAAGAAGTCATGTTCGCGGTAGCAAAGGCCCCCAAGCGCGAGACCAATAAATAACTGACAAATATTTAGTGCTTTGAATTTTGTTGCCATATCCTAAAGGCCTTCGCAAAAATATTCCGGTCACCCCTTATGAAAAGCGCGCGTCAGTTTTCCAGCCATCGGGGTTTCGTGCGCCTGTATTTTGATTGTAAATGCAAAGTGCTTGAATGTTTTTTGTTTATGATCGTTCAATAAACATCAAAATACGTACCGTGCCGTCTACTGRCATACGTTCTATTATATATTGGAACTTTTGTATAATCTCTTGTGTACTTGCACAAATATTGGCTATGATATTTGTACCTACATGTTTGACATTTTTTTACAGCGAGAACACTCGATCCGTTGATGCTTCAAATTTTTTTTAGGTTATCATTTACTGAACTTTCTACTCTTTCAAATCCTCTAAAATGAAGCATTGAGTTCAAATACTCAGAGTGATCAAAATAAATCTTATTTCCAATTGATTAGCTCAAGGGATGATTTACAGTATGTATTTCAAAAAGTGACAAAAAAACTTGAAGTGTTCAAGGTTTGAACGTCCTCACTGTAATGGAGATTTACAATCCTTAGCAGACTCTTACTTCATGGATTTCTGCGTAGTGGTCTTTAGTGAGAGAAAGATATATTATGACTTCCATCAGACGAACAATCAACTCCATWAGCGAACACCATTTTTTCTAAAGCATTTTAAGGAGAACTTCCCCCGCTTTCCCTCCGCCTTCCCAACACTTAGTCAAAACTCGTCTCGATAAAAGACTGATTTATTCGTCAAAATCAGAAAGGCAATATTAGGAGCATATATAACAGGAAGTAATTCTAAAATACAGTGTGGTTTAGTAGTAGTCTAGCAGACTACCATTTCCTTTTTTTAAATTGTTATATTGACCTCATGACTWAGAAAAAGATATATTCTTTTATTCCTCTTTATTGACTTCCTATGGAGAAACGAATGTTTCARTTCATGCGGGTTAAAATTCTTTATTGTGCAGCATTTTCATCAGGATTTTGAGACACCGTGGACAAACTTCTCTCTATACATGCACAAGTGCAGTATCTTACTTGATAATGCTCTAGAAAAGGATGGTTCTAACARTTATTATTCTTTGTTTTAATTCGATAATTGTGCAGCCTTCATGGTTTCGAAACTCCGTGGACAAACTTATGCATAATGCAGTATACGACTCAGTGATAATGCTCTCAAAAGGGCTGGTTAATATGTTCACAATTCTTTCTTTAAATTCGATATTTGTGAAGCCTTTTCTTTTTTATCATGCTTATGAGATTCCATGGTAGCTTCTTATGGACAAACTCGTCTATATACACAAGGGAGGTATTCTACTTGATAATGCT